AAAAAAAAAGATGTCTTGGTAGACCAACAAAAATCTAGAAAAAAACAATATTGATGCCACACACTTCTGTTAATTGTAATTATTCTATTTTTATTGATATAAATTAAACAGTCACACCCACACCCAAGATCATGTCAAAATAGAAAGAGAATAATAAGCAATCTGAGGAAGACATTCATCATTTTCATCTTAGAGATTATGTCAAACAGAATGTTCTAAAGAATCGTTTTTATTTTATTATCATTAAATATTTTTGTATTATTTTTGCAATCGCCAAAAAATTTCTTTGTAAAACATTAATTATGATCAAAAAAAGATTATTTTGCTTATGAAGAAAAGTATTAAACATTATTGCATTGATCAACTAAAGACAACTAAAACCTAGAGAATTAGATATGAATATAGAAATATATTTTCTGTCTTCTTCTACGTATTTTCCTTTGCAAATAACCAGGGCGAAAGTCACGAGGAAAGATACTCAGATGTTCAAAATCTGATTTGATTTCATCTTTTGATAATAAACAGATCTCGATCAGATATGAAAAAGCTGAAAAATGATTCTTTCTCTCAAAGTCTTTGTTACTAAGATATTGAAATTTCAGACAATCCTTCTCATAGCACATAAGGTTTGCCGCAAAACTGTACTGTCGAGTCACGGTTTTGCAACAAATCTTGTATGATATGGGAACAGTTAATTAAAAATCCAATATATTGGTAACACAGACTTTGAGGAAATGAACCGTGTTCAGCTTTTTCATACCTGATTGAGATCAACTTATGACTAAAACGTAGGGTCAAAGCAACTTGAATAACTAGATATTTTTCCTCGTCAGATGCAACTCAGTTTTATCACATTGGACTTAACATTATGAATAATAATTTTGAATTTCTGTTTTCCATTCTACTTCATTTTTTATAATAACATCAAAGATCTTTGAGTGAAGTTAAATGAATAAATCAATTTGAAAATGTTTATTTGATTGTTGATTTTATTCTCTGTAAATTAAATCATTTAGTTTAATATGACAATATATGATCATACACGATCATTTTTGTACATTGTATCCTGCACTCATCGTTGTCTAGAATGACGGATCTGTTTTGAGTTAAATCAACGAAAAAACAAGAAATTGAACAAAACAAAGTTTCTGTTAGACTAAAACTATTAACTATTGTAATTTCTAATGATAATTAAGATTTTTGTTTAATTATATAAACTTGAAGATAAATCAAAGAATGTTTTATTTGATAAAATGATGGAATAGATTCATAAAATATGATGTCATTTTTTTTTGATTATTACGATTGGAGAATACAACTGTGTAGTTGACTAAGAAGATTTGAACACATCAAAGTTGATACTTTTTCAATACACATTTTTTTAAGTGTGGCATATTCTACAAATGGAAAAAGTATCAAATAAAGGCCAAGATCATCAAGATGTGGATTGATGCTTTCTTCATTCGCTCACACCCACTGTTCTCAAAGGGGTCAATTTTGACAACATAAAGAGCGAATTCGTTGCTCGATGAACAATTCTATTCTTACTGTTCTTCATCACAAGTACGATCATCAATGAGTTCCTGCATCGCTAACTATTTAAACACAAGGTACAACAACATGTCTAATGTGTGACTCGTTATCGACACTTCATCTAAGATTACAATGTGAGTATTCTATTTTCTTTTCACTTTCTCGCTCTATTCATTGTCTATGAAATTGTTCATCGAAGATCAATGGCTCGGAATCGACAGAACTATAAATAGCATCTTCGTGAATAGTTAATTGAACACAAACAACTCCTTCATTAGTCTAGTAATTCTCGTCAATGTATCATTATCTCGTATTATGGGTACACTCGCACTCACATCCACCCTATCAGATCATTGATCTTTTACGACAGAGTTACTTACTCTGCTGTCGCTACCTTAATCAGAGATCGAATGTGACGTGTGTATCGATGTAGATTTATCTGTTGGTCTTCTCTTTTTCCATATTCACAATCTTTTTTATTGAGACTTCTCAAGATATTCTATTGTTGATTTTATGTTCTCTTAGTAGTCATTTCAAAGCTACATGTAAAGTAAAGATTACTGAGTAAAAAAAATGAACTAATTTGCTTTGTTCTTGAATTCTTTTGAATAGAAATATTTATTTGTTCGACATCTTCCGTCAACAATTGATATCATATCTCTATAGTCTTATTATCTTTGATATCCTTATTATGCTTATTTAGACATAAAGACTTCTCAAAAGCGTCGTCTATCTAAAGAACGTGAAATGTATCAGCTATGTAACTATGAGTTATTAATCTTTATTAGAAAGCACATATCCAAGTTTTTGTGATGCTAATCGTCAAAGTCAATGTATAAGAAGTAGGAGTTCCCATCTAGAGATTAAATATATTCTTCAAAGTGATTCGTGTTTGTAATCCAGAAAACTAGCATATCTGTAAAAAGACGCCAGCAGTCGCAGCAAGAACATTAGCACCAACTATATCCAGTCGGCTATCGCCATTAAAATCGCCAACAGCAACCGAAGATTGATAATAGCCACTTGAAAATATCATTTGCGTTGCAAAAGTCCCGTTCCCATATCCAAGAAGAATACTAACCACGTTACGGCCAACATTGACAGTAACAATATCCAGTTGATTATCATTATTAAAATCACCTACGGCGACCGATATAGGAGTATAGTCAGTTGAAAACATCATTTGAGTTTCAAAAGTTCCATTGTTATGTCCAAGAAGAATACTCACACTGTGACTACCAGAATTGGCAGTAACAATGTCCAGTTGATTATCGTTATTAAAGTCACCGACGGCGACTAAATACGGAAGAGAACCAGTAGAAAATGTCTTGTGAGTTGCAAAAGAACCATTCCCATAACCGAGAAGCACACTTGCATTGTGGGCATTATAATTGGCAGTAACAATATCTAAGTGATTATCATTATTAAAGTCACCAACAGCGACCGAATATGGATAAGAACCAGTAGGAAATGTTCTTTGAGTTGCAAAAGAACCATTCCCATATCCAAGGAGCACACTCGCAGTACTAGTGCCATAATTAGCAGTAACAATGTCCAGATGATTATCATTGTTAAAGTCACCGACGGCGACCGAATGTGGATTATTGTCAGTTGAAAACATCTTTTGAGTTGCAAAATTTCCATTGCCATATCCAAGAAGAATGCTTACAGTATGACTGCCATCATTGGCAGTAACAATGTCCAGATGACTATCATTGTTAAAGTCACCGACAGCGACCGAATACGGATACAAGTAGGTTGAAAACATGTTTTGAGTTGCAAAAGTTCCGTTTCTATATCCAAGAAAAACACTGACAGTATGACTGAGATAATTGGCAGTAACAATGTCCAGATGATTATCATGGTTAAAGTCACCAACGGCGACCGAATACGGATAAGTGCCAGCTGAATATAACACAATCGGTGCAAATGTAAAACCACATGTTGTCGCTAGACAGAAGAAAATGATCATTCTTAATTTCTAGTTTTCGTCTCAGAAAGAAAAATAGATGTTTATACAATGTACTTCTGCCTCCAAATCGGGTGGATGTGTTCAAGAGAAACAAATATTCATGATTTTGAGTCAAATTTTTGTTTTCTATGATTTTGTCGGATTTTAAATGATTTTTAGCATCGGAAATCATTCAAAACTACTCAAAATGAAGTAAAATTGAACAAGAGTGTAGGTGTTATTGTGTGTTTTGATGACGAAATCGATCAGACTCAACGCACTGATATTAACTCCCATCTACCTCTACATTCATACCCCATAGTCTTATTATTGTCTATGATATTACAAAAGATTATGTCTATTGGTTGTGCTACTATAAATCATCTTCTTTTAAATGTTAAAATCGAGTTTTGAAGAGCAATAATACACCTACTTGATGAGGTAGCTGTTGTGGTGCTCACCGTTGTTGTCGTTGTAGTCGTAGTCTTGGTCGTTGTGGTTGTCGTGGTCGTTTTTGTGGTTGTCGTTGTTGTGCTTGTTGTGGTTGTCGTTGTTGTGGTTGTTGTGGTTGTTGTCGTTGTGCTTGTTGTGGTCGTAGCAGTTGTCTTGGTAGTGATCGTTGCAGTGCTAGAAGGCCCTAACATACACACAAGTTCAATATGTTCATACAAAATGAAGAACATCAAAGTAATAGCATTTGTTTTAAATTTTAATGATCGGAAACGATCAAGTTCTTCACATGATATGCACAGATGGATCAAATATCTGACTAAAGAGATTTCTACAAAATTTACAGTGAATAATAAAATTTTTCTAGTCAACAGACGATCAATCCATTTTAAATTGGTATAGAATTTTTGAAGAGAAATTTCGGATAAAAAACTCATTTTCATGTTTGCTTCTCAACATTTTCAAGGTTTAAAATCAATCTCATAATACCAGTGCTTGTAGTTACTGTTTGCTTTGTGACTATAGCAACAATTCCATATATAATAAGTACCATGGATACAAAAATACATGCAATAATGATCGGCAACATGAAATTGAACGTTGGACATGACTTCGTTTGAGTCCAGGCAGCATTTCTCTTGAACTTTCTAAAACACATAGTAGTTTATATAATTAGAAAATAATAGTTCTGGAGCGCTTTGACACTCTTTATCAATAGATAAATATCAATGGATTCGATCTATGTTACTAACTTGTTGAAGTTCTTGGATGATGACTTCCTTTGATTCAATGTTGATGGTATCGTAGACAAAAAATGATAATCCGCAGAAGTTTGAAGTATTTGAGATGGAATCACACGTGAAGATAAATAACGATTCTTCTGCTTTTGCTTCGTATACTGAGATTTGACCTGTAAAAAATAAAAATAAAGAGATTCATTTTTTTGAGTTGTTCGTTGAGAAATAAACTTAATTCATATTTTAATAAAATACTTAAGATTATACATACATACCTGAAATTGCTTTGCAAATATTGTGTTGTTTGGGACATTAAACATTTGGAGACGTTACCATATATATATATATATATATATCTAGAAAATATTCTAAATTTTTATATGACCATGTGAAAAGAATGAGATTCGATAATGTTAGTATGTTCTCTCTTGTTAACTATTTGTCTCAATCGAATGATTGCATAGGTTTCATTCATCATATATTAATAAAGTTGAAGAAACCTTGTCATTGCTGCAGAAGGGGACTATGCTGCCTACTATTCAATCACTCTTACACCTTATAGGATCTACAAAGAATACATTACTTGTTTTATTATTCAATTAAATCGAAATATTTACATTACATAATGAAAAACTCATAAGCAAATTCAAATCTTCTATTGAAAATGATGGAAAGAATTATATTCTATTCAAATTTCTTTTTTGAATTAAGCAACTTGAACAAGATAACATTCGTAATATAAAGTAGGTCACTATCTTCAATTGTTTTCCGTTGATTTATTGAAAACTTACATTATTAGAATTCACCTAACAGAGATACACACAGAATGAAATAATACAAGACAGAATAAATAAAAGATATTTCGAAGAGTTTATATCCTTAACTTATTGATACGGAGTTACTGTAATTTTACAGTATTTTTTTTTTGAATGAATGCTATGGTTCCACTCAAAAACACTAGGAAAACTAATTTTCGAATTTCGACTTGAAACTTTGCAAAGGAACAGACATTAATGAGAATAGGTTTTTGTGACTGCTTTAGATCTTTTGATTTGTTTCTATACTGAAATAAGAACGATAAATCTGCCAGTGTATATATGAATGATGTCAAAGACACATTATCACCATAGATGTATCTTATGATAGGAACAGCAATAAGATCAGAAAATATTTACAACAAAATACTCTCGTTAAGAGAATAGATGCCTAATTCTAGTTTGAATATAAATGAAAACTGCGAAAAAAAAAACAAAATTCACGCCTAAAATAGATCGAAACAAAAAAATATTCTGTCTGAATTACAAATTATAACTCACAGTCGATTGCCCTATACCTACAGCCGAAAGGTAGAAGAAAGTTGCATTCGAATTATAAATTATCATTTATACAACAAGGTCACTTCATTATGTCAGAAACGAAGAAAAGAGTTTTATCTCTATTGTGAGTTAAAATTCAAATTGGACTCCTCTGAAGATAAGCCAAAAGGCCTAAACAAATTTAATTATTATTATAAATCACTATCACTACAGTGCTCGTCCAGAACTAAGATAGAGAGAAAAAAAAACAATTTTATTCGAATTATAAATTGTAATTCAAATACGACTATCCTATAATTAAGACAGAATGGCAGAGAATAATTTTATTCAAACTATAAATTATATTTCACCTAGGCTTCTTCACAAACTACTGCAGAAAAGCAGAAAAAAATTTTATTCGAATGATAAATTATAATTTACATAAGGGCGTCGTATAACAACGGCAGAAAGAAATGCGAAAAAAAAAATAATATGAATTGTAAATTGAAATTCAGATAGAGTTCCCCGAAAGATAAGCCAGAAAGGCGTGAAAAAGTTCAATTCTTATTATAAATTACAATCTGCATAGTACTACTCTAGAACTACGGCAGAGAAATAGAAAACAATTTATTCAATTTATCAATTGTAATTTACATATAGCTTTCCTATAACAGCAGCAGTAAGACAAAAAAAAAACTTGTTCGCATATTAAATTATAATTCATGTCGAGCTATCCTGTAATTACAGCAGAAAGACAAAAAACAAATTTTGTTGGAATTATAAATTATAATTTACTTTGGGCTGTCCTATTGCTACAACTGAAAGGCTGAAAGAAAATGAATTTTTATTATAGACGACAATCTTCATGGTGATGTTTTGCAATTACGACAAAGAGCTAGAAAAAAGTCTCAGGGTGTCAGTATGGGTGTGGGGTGTGAGCGTGAGTGTAGGGCTTGAATGTAGGTTTAAGTCTTCATCTCATCCACACCCACAACATGAAATGCAAAACAGAGAGCAACCAAAATCAATGCCTTACGTCAAATATTGCTGACAGAAATGCTACCACCACTCCAATAATATGTGAAAAGATGAAGAATTTAAAGATGATCTAAACAGAAGAAGCAATGCACCATGATTCTTACGAAGACTAGTTGGAATCAAATATCTTACCTTAGAACTAACGTAGACATGTGTGTCTATACTTTGCATCATGAATGATCGATATTTTTGCCAAGATAATGATCCTATCTAGGATCTAAGTGGTGAGATAACTGCTAGACAATGAGAACATTATCATTGACAGTAAGAGAAATGTATTCGGTGATTTTTACAATGCTCCTATGTCGTTTTGATCGATGTAGAAGTGCTTGATCTGATCCGAAAGGATCTAAGTATTGCGATACCGAAGATAAAAAGCAACATTTTTTATATATAACTGTAATAAATTATATATTCTTGTGCTTGTTAATTTCATATGATGATTTATGGCAGTGTCAGTTAAAAGCACAACAGGGTTACAGTTGAAGTTTTGGCTTTTGTTATACGACTTACGTATTTCATGTAGTCATTTATGAATGTTTTCTTTGGATGTGGTCACGATCCTAACGAGTCAGTACTGACGTAGAAACATCTTAATTATTTTGATTTTAAATAATAGTGAGCGTGAGAGTGAGATGTGCTTGAGAGATGGTTATGCCTACTCATTCATCCATCGGCCTCAGAGATGTCCATCGTGGCTGAAAATCTGTCGCTACCGCGGTGGTTTTCAAAAAAGTGTTTCTAATTTCACTGCTGCAGCTATATTTGACCAGAGATATTGATACTTTTCCATCAGATTCATTCAGTCTCGGGGTATTTCATTTGTAAACCCTGAAATTCTATTAAATTCATGCAGTTTTGCAACGTCCTCTAAAAATATCCTGCCGCGATGGATATCTCTGATCGGCCAATTCACATCCACACACTCACATCTTATAACAAATAAACAGATTGTTTTCATCTTTACAAAAAAAAAAAACACACTGATATTTTTTAATTGATAAAAGAAGTGACTCCTTTTTCATTAGTTATACCTATCTTTTATTTCGCTATTTTTTGGTTGTAAGTGGTGTGAAGATATTAGATAACACAACCAAACATTGGACTTTTTCGGTGTTAACAAAAATTTCATTACTTTTAGAACTGGATCACTTTTCACATAAAATACCAAAAATATAGACTAGAATTTCTAGATTTCGGTTATCAAAAAAAAATTTTTTTTTTCACTGAGAATAAACATGGTTTTCGAAATCAACATGCAAAAATATACACTGGAAACTATATACTTCATTCGAAAAGACTCCCAATCAATAATCTACCTACAGGAAAATGTAGCCAAAAAATTTACGAATAAAATGCTGAAGAGGAGTAGGATGACAATTTTTATCAGAGATATTTTGCGATGAAGTATAGAGTTTCCAATGTACATGGTGACCCAAAAGTCACGCAATCGAGAAACAATCGAATATCTCTGTTACGACTCGAGCAAACAAGCTGAGTTTTTTACCACTAGCAAAGGCATATTCACATTCCAAATTCATAAAGACAAGACTAGCGAGAACCTTTTTTAAGTATCACTATTGACTTCAACAAAAAAAATTTACTTTTTAACAGATAGGAAAAAACAATGCAATACTTTCTTCTATCTTGGCTGTTCTAGGTCTGTCACTTCGTGATGCGTCATCGACAGAATCTGTTTCATCAAACTTTGTTTGGTAGTCGATAAATTTGAAATTCTGTCGTCAGGAAATTCATTTCGAAAAGCTGTATTTACTGCTCGTAATATTCTTCCTGATGTCCATCAATATTTGAGAACAAAAATCCTTTGTTTTTTTTTGTCATGAATCCTATCATCTACAAACAGATGAGCGTCAAACAATGGTTACACACTGAATATAAGATAGAAAATGAAAAACAGACAAGAACAAGACTTACTGAAGAATACACAAAATAAACGTAGACAGAGATGGTAGATGAATATGACCAACAGTATACGAAGAAAAAAGATTTGTATCATGTGGACTATGGTAGAGCAAAAGGAGAAAAATAACACGAGAAGAGATATATGAATGAACGATATTTGATATTATTTACATTCTATCTTAATAAATTGGTTCTTCTTCATCGTACATGATTGTTTTCCTATCTGTGAAAAAGTAAAATTTTTTAATGTATGAAAGTAACAGTACATGAGATTTAATTCAATATCTAATAAATCAAACAAATGTAGAAGTTTTAAATGAGAAATTTTATTGTAATACCATATAAATAAAATTTTTTATTTAAACTTTTACATTTCTTTGATTTATTAGATAAAAAATTTTTTTTTTGTTTGTTAAAGTCAATAGTAATATTTAAAAAAGGTTCTCTTTAATCTTGTCGCTATGGATGTGGAGTGTGGACATGTCTTTACTAGTGATAAAAAAAATCAGTCCATTTACTCGAGCCGTAACAGAGATATCTTTTGAGCCACTATGTACATTTGTTTTATAAACATTGAGAATTTTATTTTTCCAATTATCATCATTATTTTTATGATATATGACACTTGTCGTCAGTGTTTTTCTGTTAAAAACTATAGATAAAATGTAAATGTCGTCTTAGATAATGGCGTAATAACTTACAGATAATCGCCTAAATAATGTCAACTATTGATTTTAACATATAACACAATCGATATTCATATCATTAACTACTCGTGTGGATGTTGAATATCCTTTTTATATTACACTTTCTAGTCAAAGAGAAATGTATCAATTGATGAGAAATATGATTCATTTTACTAGACTATCATATCAAAAATGATGAAGAATTCGAATGATTGTTTTAGATACAATATCAGTGATTAAATATTAAATCAAATAAATGAAGATTATTTAAATTACTAAAGGATAGAAGGAATTTTTTATTGAAGCAACTAAAAAATGTCTTTTTTTTTGTGTTCATGAATAAGTATAAATGTATACAATGATATAATGTTTGTTCAT